AGGAGGGGCTCTTTAAGGAAGAGGCAGATTTGTTCCGGCTGTGTATTTTCAAATTCTAGCGCACTCAAGCTGGTTTCTCCAAAATTACCTACCCCACCTTTAACATCCCGATAGCAATGAATACATTAAATGATTGACAATAAATACATTAAAAAAATTCCACCTGTGGAAGCCGTGGCGCTGTAAAAAGCTCGACCAATTATTCTAGCTGGCCCGGCTAAAATGATTGGATGGCCTACCTGCCTGTCAGCCTTCCATCTCGTGCACAAACTTATCTCGTGCCTTCATTGGTCATGTTCGTGTGTGTTGGAGGAGGGGCTCTGTAAGGAAGTCTGAAGGAAGGGGCAGATTTTTTTCGGCTGCATACTTTCATATGCTAGCGCACTCGAGCTGGTTTCTCCATTCTTCCCTACCCTACCTTTAACCTTCTTCCTGAACATCAACAACTTTGCCTGTGTGTCTTTTTATTACAGCCAAAATACATCCACCAGTTATTGAGAGCAGTCGAGGACCGAAAGAAAGAACAAGAACGAAGGGACGAGCGGAAGATCCAGAAGGAAAGAGAGGCAGAGGGAGAAGAGTTTGCTGATAAAGACGCTTACGTTACATCCGCCTACAAGCAAAAACTGCTGGAGCAGAAGGAGGAGCTGGAGAAAGAGAAAAGAGTGGCGGCGATGGAAGGTTAGACTGATCCGTCATTACTGTTTAGTGGATGCAGGCAGAGAATATTTAGTTTCAAAACAACATCAGCATGTATGTTAAATTGGATTTGCCCATAGCAACTTTTTGTTATGTGGATATTGTAAAAAGATTTGTGCTGCCAAAAAAACGATCTCCTACTTTAGAGCACAAGAACACAACTAAAACAGGATTAAAACGTTATTGAAAAGAGGCCACTTTTAGGAACAACTTAAATAATCTGTTGAATTATTTTTGTTTGTTTAGCGGCTTTGGACGTGAAGAAACAAAAAGACCTGAGCGGCTTCTACCGGCACCTGCTGAATCAGACAGTAGGAGAAGAGGCGATACCTGATCGCTCGGAAATCAAGTCAGTCATTAATCCACATTATTTGATCCTCCATAAACACGACAAGCACACACATTATTTAAAAAGAAAATGTCTGAACCTTTATTTGTATCTCTCTGTACTTCCCCAGAACTGAAAACTCCAAGGTTTCAAAAGACACGGAGAGGATGTCACCTGTTCCCTCATCTACATCCCATGACAATATCCCAAGTTCCTGCAGCGACAGTGAGGAGGGACATGAGCAGAAAGCTGGGTTTAGCAAGCCGGGGGCAGGCCTCGCACACTCAAAACGTCAATACAGACAGAGGTCACCTTCATCGGGGAGCGCAGAGGAGAAGGAGAGAGAGAAGGAAAAAGAAAGACATAAGAAGGGCCACAGAGATCAAGACAGAGACCGAGCACGGGACAGAGACAGAGACAGAAACAGAGACAGGGGAAGAGAAAGGGATGACAGGCATGGAGGAAGAAGAGACGACAGGGACGGAAGGAGAGACAGAGACAGAGGCCGAGATGATGACAGAAGCAGAGGAAAGGATACAGAGAGGGAAGACAGGCACAGGAAGAGGGATAGGAGCCCTAGGGAGAGAGAGAGGGATAGGAATGGGGAAAGAGAGATGAAGAGGAATCCAGATGAAGACAAGCGAAAGGACAAAGTTCAGGAAGAAGAGAAGGAGGGAAAGAAGGGACCAGAAAAGGAGAAAGAAGTGAAGAGGGAAGAAAAAGATCCTGAAGAGAAGGAAGCAGAAAAGGAGAAAGAAGTGAAGAGGGTAGAAAAAGATCCTGAAGAGAAGGAAGCAGTCAGAGAGGACACAGGGGAAAAAGACGACGACCAGAATCAAGAAGGTGAGGGGAAAGAGGAAACCACGGAGGAGAAAGGAAACAAGTTTGCAAAGCGCAGCACGGATCAGGCTGTGAGTACGGCCAGAGAGAGATACCTGGCCAGACAGATGGAACGCTCAGCCTGTAAGACGTACATCGAGAAGGAGGAGGATTGATGGCTGTGCAAATCAACTCTATCTCAATAACTAGGGTGAGGCTTATGAAATGTCGTTTATTTCTCAACAAATCAAATGAAAAGATCAAAACCTACATAACTTAGTTTCCTCTTTTGCCCTGTTTACCAAAAACAGATTTTCTTTTCAAGGCTCAATGATTTCCTAATGTTATTGGTTACTGTAGTAGAGCTGCAAAGATAAGTCAACTTATCCATAAGTCCATCAACAGAAAGATCATTGACTACTATTTTGAGAATCAATTAATCATAAAGGAGTTTTTCATATAAAAATGTCAGGAAAAAACTGTTTTGATTTTCTAAGATGTGGAGATTTCTTGTATTTCTCTGTTTTTAAATAATATTAAACAACTTGTTTTTGGGTGTTGGACCGACATACAGTAAGACATTTAAAGACATTCCCTTTGACTTTAAGAGAATCTGAAGGACTTTTTTTGACATTTTGTAGACCAAAGGATTATTTGATTAATTTAGAAAATGATCGATATATATATATATATATAAAGACAATTATTATTAGTTGCAGCCCTACATTGTTGGCAAATGTTCCTCAAACATGAGTAAAAAGGGCATTTGATGAGAACTATTTGCAGTACATTTGGTATACTATTGGGTATTAACAGCACCTAAAATGAGTAGCACATTTTTGCTTATTGATGTAAAAGAAGCTTTGGATAAGAATAGAAGTAGCTGTGACAATATGAAGTTATGACAGGCTTTGGCTATGCATAATTGTTAGTAGGATTGATTTGAGTGTTTCATTGGATTTGTTGACGATTTCTTTTTTTTTATATTGCCTCCACTACGCTGCAGAGGGTTGATTCAAACAGCTGAGTGTTGATGGCCTCTAGTGACGAGAGAGAAAGAGAGAACTGGACAGTAATATCTTTCTTTCTTTGGGACTTACATCTGTGGAGTTCTGATTTATAATTGTGAAATAAGGACACTGACTTGTAAGTATGAGTTTTGACGGAGAGCCCCTCGTAACATAACACAGGAATGAGGAGAATGTACATAAGAAACATTATAATGTGGAGGAAATGTAGAACAACATGTGAGCCACTGGTTTGAACACTTGTTGAGTTTTTGTATCTTTCCAATGTAGTCGGTGATGAGTTAATAAAATGATTTCTGGTCCACTTTCTTCTGTCGCCTTTATTTGTATTGCACGGTTACAGTTTGGCGTTCAAATGTGATCACAAATTCAGATTTCAGCTCATGATTCAGAAGGCAACAATGTTTATTTCACAATTTGATCAGAGAAACATGTTGCAGCTCTACAGGTTTTGCACAGGAAGACATTTATTCTCTTAAAGCAGTGTTTGCTTGTAGGAATCCTCTCTCGTGTCTTCTGTGTACTCTTGAGTCTAGTTGTACATGGAGTACTCGGTCCACTGAAACAGAAGAAAGGCAGTTTCTAGAAATCTTAGTATCTTTAATCGTTATCCTTAATACATTACTTTTATCTTTACAAACAGGTAAATTTGAGAGACAGAGTTGTGTTAGTATGAAAAAAGTTAGAATCAAACCTCGACTTCTTGGTCCGTGCGAGTCCTACAGGAGTTACTGTTTGAAGGCGTACCACTCACGATAGTGTACACGTAACTTTGGTAAGTTTTAGGAGAGAAACAACACGTAGTGTCTAGAAGTCTGACAATGGAAAACTCACACAGACAGGTAGTGGTCCGTGGACCTTAGTGGCCCGAAACCAATACTATGGGTACGTCACGTAGCTGGGCGATAGCAAACTACATAGAATAACAAAAGAACATTAGTTTTGTGGATCTCAGTCTAAATTTATGGGCGTGATATATTGTTTAAAAAAATTTACAATATGACTAGTACGCAATACTACCTGAAGGAATTTGCACGTCTTCCAACTGGTTTTTTTACTGTTACTGGGAGCAGCCAAGTGTAAGAGGACCTTTCTTGTTATTTACTTGATGTCTCCCATTACGTCGGTTCTTTACCCGTGATTTGTGCTGATTAACCCTTGGGTATAAATAGTTAGTCCCTTAGTTATATGAACCTTACATAGGGTTACAATATAGAGTAGTATAAGGGGTTCTTAATAAGAAAGTTTTATCATCTGAGTTGGAATAAGGTGCTATTTGCACGTACAATTCCAAGATTAATTTAATTTGTAACAAGAACCGTCCGTTGTGAAAGTAGCATCGTGGCTACACTTATTCTTACCTAGGACTGACTTGCTCTCGAGTTGCCACCGTTTTTGCGCCGACGTCCATTGTGATCAAAGGTTAAATTATGATAATTTTTTACAATTAGTTCGAAGCTGGGCTGTGTTTTGTCCCTGACTGAAGTATAAGAGCCTGTAATTGTCGTCATGGGACAGAAGGAAGAGGAACAGAGTCTTGGTCTCTAGACTGAATTGTCACGAGACCACCGACCGACTACTTGGGGAGGCAATAGTCGAAACTTGGTGGGTGGTACCTCCCCGAAGTACAGTGAGCTAGCAATAGCGGACCCGTTTTGTTGTTCACCACCTCTACCCGTGTTGTTAAGATTAGTAACAATTGTCAAAACTATGTAAATTAACAAGTCTACTTCGCCCGTGATTCAATTTACCCGTTTGACTTGTCGATGTGGCGAAATACTGTTTACACACGTGTCATTTATGGTATAGAATATCCTATAAGAGATATATAATAATATATATTATAATAGTATAATACCAACCAAAACCGTGTGTCACCCAATCTTTACAACTAGTAGTCTAGTTCCCCGCAACCCTTGTCGAGAAAAGCTATTGGCTAGAGCGGAGCCGAGCGGTGACACCAGTCGCGGCAACACAGGAACCCGTCTCTGTGTGAAGTGGGATTAAACGAGGACAGACCCATAACAGGTGTCATTATTGACAATGTACAGGATTATCAGGATTATACACATTATCAACCACCTTTCGCAAACTCGAGGACCTTTTCGTGAGCTTATTTTACGCATTTACTTTAATAATAATTTATATTTACACAAAGTTAGGCAATACATCGAGACTAGTAGAAATGTCCATGGAAGTTCCTGTTTAGTTTGTCTACCTCAATTAGTGTAAAAGGAAACCTTCCTCCGCCAGACAAAGGGTGAATTTATGGTAAATAATAAAAAGGAAAGAAGTCCGTAGTTTTGGTGTTTTCTTTTCGTATTTATTACTGTATTTCTACAATTCCTCATTGTTCATTTTAAAATGAAACTTTATTTCACAAAAAATTCATATAATTCAGGCGTATTTTAACCTTTTTTCCGAGTCATGCAGGACTCATTTATCAAAAGGTCGGGTGGCATCAAACCACCTTATNTAGGATAAAAGTGTTTAACATGTAATGTATCGGCCAAAATTGTGAAACATAAAAAAATAATTCGGTGTTTTATATATTCTAGAGTTGTTTCTAAATCATGATGTTTCACAATTTTGGCCGATACATTACATGTTAAACACTTTTATCCTAAGCAACTTAATTAAGTACTGTGGACAGTCCCCACAGGAGCAATTTGGGGTGAAGTGTCTTGCCACAACGGCATGCCGACTGCAGTGGGACTCGTACTAGGTACCCCCTGATTCGAAGCACTCTATCCACTGAGCCACAGCCTCCCATACAGCACCAAGATAATGCAGGGTTTAAATATTCTTTCACCACAGATATTTATTTGACACATTGTGTTTTGTTCTGACATATCTAACCCTAACCCTGCAAACACAGTTTATAATCTTTTTTTTTTTAAACCTCTTTTTCCACACTGTCTGACAGTGTCATGCATGTTACTGAACTTCTCATTAAAGCTGTATAATGTCTAGTGAAATATTCAACGTCCAAGTTATTATGGATGGAATATTTCCATCAAAAGAAAGATTCATGTTATGCTAATTTCCCCAAATATTTCAGCCGGACATATTTTGGAAACTATTGGATTTTTACTGGAATTTAAAATAAACTTCTGTGGGTTTGTAACTAATGACCCACTGGCAGCAATTTGGGGGGTTAAATATGTGGCTCCCTCGACTAGAAATTGTCTGATAACTATCCATGAATTTAAATCAGTTTTTAAAAACTGATTTAGCCAAACTCCCGCAGTCAACGGTTTCTACTCTAGTTTATTTGGATGGTCATGTAAGAATTCAAATTCATTTTAAAAGTTGGAATGTACAACGTATTTCTTATGCTGTAATAGGGTGTATGTAGTGTTGAGCATTTTCTCATGACTTGTTTATTATATTGTATTCATCTCATTTGTTTTTGTTTGTTTTGTTCTGATCCTTGGATACATGACTGCGGATGTTGCACACGGCGTTGGTTTTACACTGTGGTAATATATAATATGTGTAATATATTGAGTTTATGTATTGGAGCCAGTGAGGATATATCAGATTACTTATATATCATGCTTGATCCATCCACCAGACTCTAAACTACTTTCTGCTGGTCTACAAGTAAGCTGTCCCCTGAAGATAAGTATTATCTGTATATGATAAATACCGTGACAACCATCCCTGCACAGGATTTGTCAATGAAATACCACTAGAACATGTTGAATTCTCGCCTTGAGAACTTGCATGAATGCCCCATCAGCCCTGATCTCTGAGGACGAACGGAGCAGTTTTGCGACTTGAGAATTGATGAATTAAATAAATAAATGCCACATTCTTTGTTGTAATCAGCCCCCTGCCACACACACACACACACACACACACACACACACACACGGCTCAGACAGGCTCATAAAAAACAGATTAAACCATGATGGATCAGGTAATCTGCAACACAAGTCACATAAACAGAGTGGGTATGTGAGGAGAGGAAAATAAGAACGAGAACGACAAGAAACTATTTTGTTCCTCCTTACTTTCTGCTCCCACTCTGCTTTCTCCCATCTCCTGAGTGTTGTCTGTCATTATGTGAACACTAGAAATGTGCACTCGCACACACAAAAAACTCAAGGCACAAGCCACCTACACTCTGCCATTGTTCTCTCTCCCTCCATGTGGTTTTAATTTGCCAAATGCTTAGGCTTTAATTAATAAGAGAAAGAGAGAAGCCATTAATTGAAAGCATTCCTGAGAATATCATCTCCTTCTCATGAGAACGGCTCCATTTATTCCCTCTCAACACTCCTAATGCTACAACATCACACATTTCATACCCGCTTTATATTACATATGCACTACCAGACATTTAGAATAACATGATAAATGATTAAAACATTTACAAAAACAATACATGTGTGTGATGTGACGTACGCATGATAAGTGTGTTTGCCTTTTGACCCCGAGCGGTTAAGTAGGACACAATAACAGAAGCCATGTAAGTAACCTTACGGACAGATTCTGACACAGCCGATCGAAATGGAGCGGTGAAGAGTTGAAACCTGCACTCAGGGCTAAGAGGATTACAGCTGAACATTATCCAGCGTCTGCGGACAGACTAAAGTCATTCTTCACTTTAAGAAGGACAGTCTCACTATTGTGTGTTCTGAGGCCTGAGCGCCCTATTGTACATTTGCACACTGCACTTTGAGAGACTCACAACCCTGCTGCTCCCCGTCTGGGAATGTATACTAAGTTATATTGTCATGCTGTTTATTCCTCTCTCATACAGTCAATCTTCTCTGTATTATCTATAGATTTGTATGTTAAATATGCCAATTCATCGTATGTGCAATACTGGTAAGGTCTGCCAAGTTCATGAGAGAGTTCACAGTGGTTTGGTACAGTATTGATCCTTGTGCTAAGAGGATTACATCTGAACATCACACTGCTGTCTGAATACAGATTCTTAATCATTCATAGATTTCAGAGCAGTAGATGATGTCAACAGATAGTTCATTTGCCTTCTGCAACCAGATAATCACTACCCATTTCTGTACTGTTCTCGATGTGCTGGAGCTCCGGCAAAGAGAGAGTTACTTTCAACAGAAGTCTGCCATTCAGGACTGAACACAAAGAGAAACATATTATAATGTACCTGCCATGCACGGAGATACATTGCAATTATTTGTAATGAACCAAACGCCTGATGATCTACGTAGTATTATACAACAGCTATGAATAATGCAAAAACATTTAGTTGCATGATGTTTAGGTGGATCAATGCTTTAAGTCATCTGGATAAAACTTCTGGGACATGAAG